AATCGAAAACCGTTAAAGTTAGGAAAAAGTGATCAACTGAACTTCAATAGAACATGCAATTTCTCACATTTTTGTAGTACATGACATTTTTTCAGCTATCATGTCAGCTGAGTTACAGCCGACAGAAGTGGCAATTTTTGACAAAATTGTTAATATGCAATTTTTTACTCAAATTCACAAAATATATTGTTATTTCTGCAGTTTTTCATGTTTTCAAAAACTTTCACAGAAAATGCCATTATTTTCGGCCCGGGCCTGCGGGCTTTAGCGGACCCAGGTTTCGCAAGCATGATCATCCATACTTTTTTTCAGAACGTCCAAAAAATACAAATGGAAAAAAAATTCCCACATTCTGATTCTTGACTTCTCCTCCAATATCAATAATTGAGTGGGTGTTTTTTTTGTTGTTGTTCAAGAACATCACGCGCTGAAAAAGTTAGACGTCGACATTCGTAATACTACAATATTGAAGGAAACTACATTCTCTTTGGTTACTTGGGAAAAATTCATGTTTTTTGTATTTTTTGATTTTTTGGTAAAGTCTGGGAGTCGATTCATAATGACTAACGTGTGATGTACCCATGGGAACATGTCTGTAATCTGACGTAACAGTGCGGTTTTTGCAGACTCGAAAAAATATTATGTATGCGGCTTTCAGCTACCGTAGGCGGTTTCTTCCTGAAAATTCTAAATTTTTTGAATTCAAAAATTGTGTAGAATGCGCTCTAACGACACTTTTTGTTTGACAAGTTGAGACTTTATTCACAAAATGAAATCCAACGCAAATCAGAGGCATTTGAGTCTATAGAAAGAGAGACACCTCACGAGAAAAGGGGACAGAGTAGGAGGCGGATCAAAATACAAAAAACGATGTCAATCGATATGACAGAATAATATAAGAGAGAGGAGAATCATTATGACAAGAGAGAGAGAGAGAGAGATCCAGCCCTATGGAGATCTAGAGTGGTGGGGGTTAAATAATGGTAGGTCAAAAGGAGTTAATCCTCATAACTGACGACCACTGGTTGACTTCCTCCTTCGGTTTCACGCGCACGTCGCAGTGCAATTATTGATTCGGTGAGATTGTCGATTAGTTGTTCTGAAAGATAGATGGTTAGGGTTCGAACCCACGAGTCGCCACAAAAATTCTACCCCTCACCTCTATTCTCGGTGCCACCACTTCTCTTCATCAGTCCAAACTCTGTTCCGCCCATCCTGTCGAACGAGCGTTTCCGCTTGGCACCGAAAAAGTCGTTGGTGTCCATTCGATCGAACGCCTTCTTCGTTGGCACCGTCATGAATCGATACGGATCGGCGGATCGTTTGAAGATGTGCGAATCGTAGACGTATCCGTAGGGATTCTCGTCGTCGTATCGATCGAATCGTTTGGCGCCGAATGAGAAGACACCCGAGTTGTCGAAACGATCGAAGGCGCGTTTTACGAGGCGTCGGGAGTCACTGAAGATGGATTAGTTGCTTTTTTTGGTTTAAGAACTGTAGCATCATAAAAGCTGCCATTTGGGCACCGATGCGACATCAGAACCCTAAAATTCAGGCACTGTATGTTCAGCGCAGTATATCTCAGTTGCTTTCAAAGTTATCAAAAAGTGGTCAACTGAAGAAATGTTGAACAAGTCATTTTGAGCATTTCATTAGTTAAAAATTTTTTGATAGCTTTAATGGGAATCGAGATATGCTGCTTTGAAAACACAGTGAATCTTGAAATTCAGGTACATACAGTTTGACTCTGTATATCTCGGTTACCTTTAAAGCTAGCAAAAAGTGGTCAACTGAAGAATAGTGTAAAATTAAATTTTGAACATTTCATTAGTTGAACACTTTTTGATAACTTTAATGGCAATCGAGATATGATGCTCTGAACATGAAGTACTGCCTCACGGCGCCGCAAGCTTAAAGCGAGGTTTACATATACGCCCTCTCCCCCTTTTTACCACTTTGCACTTGTGGCCTACTGGCTACCACTCCCGTTTTCTAATCTCCACACCCTGGTTCAACCTCCACCCAGCCCCAATTCATTTTTACACTTCCCCCAACTTACCCGGACGGTGAAGAGGGAACGATCAGATAGGGATAGGCCATGGCATAGCCGATGAGAAGGCACTGAAACATTTTTTCATTCGTAAACATGACAATAAATCTTTCTGAAGCTAACCTGCAAGAGAAGCAGTTGGAGTGGAGATATTGGAAGAAGCTTCTGACTCATGTCGCTTTTGTTACCTATAAATTAGAAAATTTGGTTCCGGGTAATCGAGTAAGAGAGAGAATTTTGAGGAAAATAAGGAAATTGAGGAAATTGAGAAGTGAGGAAGAAGACGGAAATTGGAAAAGTTGGAGAAAAAATTTCTAAGAAAAAAATTTTATGGGAATGATTTTTGTCTTTTAGGCCTACAATGGCTTAGGCTCAGGCCTGATTTAGTTAGGCTCAGCCTAAGAATAACCCCAAAGGGATATCAGGCCTATCCCAGACTACGCTTAGGCTCAGGCCTAGACTGACCTTAGGCCTTTTCTCAGCCTAAACCTGCCTTAAGCTCAGCCTCAATCCCACCTACCTCCCCTCCTACTCAAGCTAAACTGAAACACGCCATTTCCCACCTACAAAAACAATAAAATGATGAACCCCTACCCCTCCTCCCACCTCCTCCTTCCCCCTAGTGGGCGTGGCCTTCCATTTTATCAGGCTGATGCAACATGAGAGGAAGCCCTAGAAGTTTCGGAATTTATTCTGCACTTGAGATGTGATTACGAAATGGATGAATTTTGTTCCTAAGATCACTTTGGTGACGTGGCCACCTAGCCTAGTATTGTACTAGGAGGTGCTGACGTTGGTTGGTCCCGGGGGCCTCAAAGGGGTCTCTAAAAGGGATACAAATAATTGCACGTCATTCTAGAACACACAGAAAAAAATAAAAAAGAAATTGACCCCAGGTGGGTTCGAACCCGGGGCCTCTCTCTTGGAACTCAAGCGCTGTGCCACTGCGCCACTCGTCCAAGAAAAGGAAGGCGCCGGCTGGGCTTCAAAAGCGCGCGGAGAACGATAAAAGAGGTGAGGGGAGGAGGAAAGAAAGGTGTCCCTTTTCGCCGAATGAAGCCTGCTTATATGGGGCGTACTGGCTCCGCCCACTTTTCACTCGGTGGGGGACTAGATCGGAACGAGTTGGCAATATGACGTGTGAGAACTAGTATAGTTTTTGACAAGTTTCAAATGGGTTTTTGCATAGAAACTGGGGCCGGGGACCTAGAAACAGGGATGGTCGAGATGTATATACATGAAATCATAGTTTTTGGAAGGCTTCTTTTTGGAATTAAGATTTTGGAAATAAAGATAATGTTAATCCGAAAATTTGGAAGCGATTTAGGACGTCTCCGACAAGTCAGGAGTTCAAAATTTCAGTTCTGACCAGATTGTGGCCTTAAAGGCGCAGCATGGAAAAAAAACTGAAAAAAAACCACCGTGCGCCTTTAAGGTAGTAACCCGGATAAAAAAAACAAAATACTTCACGAAAAGAATTGAGTCATATTTACCTTTTGGTAACTGAATACACACTACAAATTTTGCCAGATGACGTATTCATACCACCCAACGAAAAAGGGGGAAGAGCTCATTAGAGCAATTTATGTGGGATCGAAAATGACCAGATCTTTGGTTATGAAAAAAAAATTAAAGAGGGACAGGTGAAAAAAAAAATTTTTTTGGCTTTGGTCAGACGACCTTTAGGCTTGAAATGCCAGGAATTTTGGGGCGGAGTAATAATTTTTTTGGAATTTTTTATTCCAGTTAGACGTCAATTTCCAACTTCCTGGATCCCATTAATTTAAAAAAAAAAAATTTTCGAAATTTTTACGGTAGATCAAAAAACCAAGATCTTTGATTACACTTCTCCAACAGGTGAAACAATTCATTTCAGAATCTAAATTCCTTAGTGGTCAATAGTCGTACTCCTCCTCCTCCTCCTCCCCCCGTCCCATTCATGCAGATATCACCCCTTATTAGTAAATACGAAATGGTTCAGTGAAGTGGAAATGTGCGATACGATGAACTAGGGGTCTAAAAATGAAAGAGAGGAGTCGTGGCTAGATCGTAGGAAAAAGAAAAAAAGATTTGACCCTAGTGGGGGTCGAACCCGCGGGTGATATTTTGAAAACAAGAGCGTTAACCGCTAGGCCGCGGCGGGCATCATCAGTTGAGGGGGAGGGGGGCATACAGGAAACTGCGCGTTTTGGGAAGTGAGCGGGGAGGGGGGGGGGAGGCGTTCCCCAGACACAAATCATTAAACTTGGCTGAAATTTAGATTTCAGTCATAATTAATTTACGATTAGAGCGCAGTACGTCATCTTCTTCCTGATCATAAGGCACAACGGGTCTAATTGTATAATTGGATGATTTTTCGACCTGGGTTAAAGCCGGAATCCACCCGAAAAAGTCACAAGGCACAAAAATTCCTACAGTAATCCCTTGAAAAGTACCCCGGAAGAAAAAAATGTGACCATCACACAAAAAAATTAAAGGAGCAGCGAAAAGAAGAAAAAAAAAGAAAGAAAATGAGTAATGAAAAAAAAAGTTAAAGGATTAGAGTGTCGTTTTTCCCACATACTCACCGAAAAAAAATAAATTTCGTCGTGTAAGAACATGTGAGAAAAAAAAGCGAAACTACATGATCTCTGATAATCCATTCTTTGTACATTTTTTGGGAATTTCGACAAAAAAAATAACAAAAGGGCAAGGGGGACCACTAGAGATGGGAGGAAGAGTGTGCCCTCCTGAGCTCTTAGCCAAATAAAAAGTGTCCCATCCCCCCTCCCCTCGGCTCCATTCGATTTGAAACAATTTGGAAAATGTGTATATAGTGGTCAGTTTGGGGGGCTCCACCCCCTGACTCCGCCTCTTTCCGCTGAGCCAGGGAGGTGGAGCCCAGAGCTAGGAGTCATCATGAGTCATCTATGAAAAGTGAGAAACACTCAGAAAAAAATAAAAAAGAATTTGACATCATGGGGGTTCGAACCCCCGGCCTATCTCCCCGAAGGCTAGCGCTCTACCACTGCGCCACGCGGTCAAAAAAGAGAAGGTGCGCTGTTTGCCTATAGAAACGCGCGGAAAGAAGACGCGGAGGGGGGGAGGAGAAGGATAACGTGTATTTTAAGACAAACCTTATTTTCCACAAAACTTTCATCCCTATTTTTCGTTTTGACCTCTCCCTGTGATGTCATTGAGAAACGCCTAAAATAGGTTAGGAAGGGGAGATTTAACTCATCTCTGACCATTTAGGTTCCATGTTTTTAGCCGCCGAAAAAATTTAATTTCGGGAAGGGCCAGAGGATCTGGACCCAGGAGCACATTTTCATTTGTCAATAGAGCGCCGGTTACAAAAACTGTGGAAAATGCAAAAATTGTAAAAATTGACCATAGAGCGCAACTGCATAGAACAAAAAGACAAAAATTCCTGCGAACATCTTTGTGCAATGGAGCGCATTTGAGAAAAACTCAATTGAACAAAAAGTGTGCTCCGGGAAGTAATTAGACTAGACTAATTCCCACACACTAGTGTGTGTGTACTTGACAGGGGGACTCGGGGACAGGAAGTTTTTTTTTCCATAAGTCCAAGGATTATCATATAATTTCGGTTCTTTAGATTTTTCGGTGCCGCTCTATTAGAGGTAGCTTGGACCTGAATATACGCTCCACTGCACAATCCGAATAAGGAAAAAAAATTTTTTTTGAAGGAATAATAAAAACATGAATTGAGGAGGAAGTTCGACCAATTTTTCACACATTTTTCAACAAAAAATTGGCCAAAAAATGAGTCAAAAACATGCGTTTCAGGTTTCACAGGGGAGGGGAAGTTTTTTTGACCTACCCTCGGACCCGAGCTTGCCCAGACTCTGCCATCAATTTTTCGAGCTTGATATGTTCGGAGCAGCATATCTCGGTTATTTTTGGAGCTATCAAAAAGTTTTCAACTAGCAAAATGTTCAAAATCATCTACTGAACTTTTTTTCAGTTGACCATTTTTTGATAACTCTAAAAGCAATCGAGAAATACTGATCTGAAGGGGGTACGGTACCCAATTGTGGTGCCCAGTTCCAAGTATCTCTTAACTTTGAACTTTAAACATTGCATTCGACCACTGGAGGGATCAAGTCTTTTCCTAGTAATTTGAATTCATCCCCTTCACTATAATCCCCCCGTTTCTTCAAAACTAAATGTCTATTAGTACGCAAAAACCGGAAGCACAAAGTTTAGAGATGATTAGATTAGTAGGGAGAGGGAGAGAGACATTTAGAAAAAGTTTAAAAATAATTTTGCTCCGGGTGGGTTCGAACCCACGGCCGATTTTTGGGAGGCTAGCGCTCTACCACTGCGCCATGCAGCCGGGAAAGGTAGGAGGCGCCGCGTGTCTACAAGAGGGCGCGGAAAGAAGAGGGGGGGCCTGGTACTGTATTTTCAGAAGAAAGAAAGAAAGAGAAGTTCAGAAAGAAAGAAAGAAAGAAAGAAGAGAGAGAGAGAGAGAGAGAGAGAGAGAGAGAGAGAGAGAGAGAGAGAGAGAGAAGCCATTTGATACTTAGACCTGTCAAGAAGGTGTTAGGTAGTCACACCTTTTTTTTGATGAATCACATTTCAAAAACCCGACAAAAGAATGCGGAAACGGGACCGTACCCCTTCTGTATTTTCACTGATCATCCCAATTTCTTTTTTGTTGATAATGCAATTTAATAATAATCACGCGATCCCCCCTAGCATGTTTCAAATGGTGGCCGGAAGCTGTTGTCGGAAGAGGAGGAGGTGACGTTGAATTCTGCGTGGGGGAGGGAGGAGTAGAAGAGGTGGGGGTGGGTGAGAGGGTCACTTAATAATAGGGACTAGAAAGGGATGAAACAATGGAGGGGTCAAATAATTGAGAGATTAGAGTTCAGTTGATTTTGGGCTTTCTTTGAAGGAAGGTGAGAGGAAGAGAGAAAGAGGGAGAGAGAGAGAGAGATTCGAAAAAAAAGAAAAAGAAATTAACCTCAGGTGGGTTCGAACCCCGGGCCTCTCTCCCCGAATGCTAGCGCTCTACCACTGCGCCATGCGGCCAAAACAGAAAAGGCGCCGCTTCGGAAAGAAGACGCGGAGATTACTGTATGTTCGGAGCAGCATATCTCAGTTGTCTCTAGAGCTATCAAAAAACTTCTCACTAATGAAATGCTCAAAATGTAATTATAAGCATTTCTTTAGTTGATCACATTTTGATAGCTCTCAAGACAACGGAGATATACCGCTTTGAACATGAAGTACCTTTTAATGGGGATGGTACACCCAGTACTGCATGTTCAGAGCAACATATCTCAGTTGTCTTTAGAGCTATCAAAAAGTTGCAAACTAATAAAATGTTCAAAATGTAATTTCAAACATTTCTCTAGTTAATTACGTTTTGATAACTTTTAAGACAAGTGAGATATACCACTTTGAACATGAAGTACCTATTTTGTTGAGAACATTTTCAGAAATCCCGAAGTTTTTCTCATAATTCTGTTCCCAAACTAAAAAAAAAGCCATCAAAAATCGTAGGCGGAGAAAAGGGACCCCTATTGTTCCTATGGAATGTCTTAACTCTTCAAAATCCTTCCCCAAAAACAAAAAATGCTGTCACATTTTTTCAAAAATTGACACATTTTTCTAGTTCCTCCATTGCAAAAATCAGAAGTCTTCGTCACTGAATGGGTGGGCGCAACAGAACACAAGAACACAGAGATATGACATTTTCATGAAGATACAACAAACACCAAGTTTCTTCCTACACACGTCATGTATGGTGTCCCTAGACCCTGGAGAATTTTTTTTTTTTGAAAAAAAAGGTAAATATATGACTACTGAATAAGGAGAGAGGGTGACTAAAATGTTTATTTAAGAGGGATTTCATTTGATTTACTTGATTTTGCAGGAGGGTTTATTGGATTATTATGGGAGGTGGGAGTTATAATTAAGTACCTGTGATGAAGGGGGAAAAATGAGTAATGAGCTTCGTACCTTAAAGGCGCAGGGTAGGTCTTAATTACATTTTGAAAAATCTTGTGTGGGCCTTTAAGGTAACAACATGGTGCATCGACCTCAAGAGCAGTTAATCATTGTACCTTAAAGGCGCAGGGGCTAGCTTCTCACATCGTGGTGAGACCTCACCAAAGCGCATGCGCCTTTAAGGTGAGACTGTCTCAACATGGTGCACCGACCTGGCGAGCTTTTTACGGATCGTACCTTAAAGGCGCAGGGTGGGTCTCAAAAAAAATTGTGTGCGCCTTCAAGGTTCTAGGACAACCTAGCTATCATAATTTTGATTTAAAAATTTGAAAAAAAAATAGTTTGATCTACCTTAAAGGCTCAATGGAAGCGTGTAAAATTACTGTAACGTGGTGAGACCCTTCCAAAAAAGTTTTTCTGGCACCTGGTCACTTCCTAGTTCACCATCATGATGTTTGAAGTGCGCTTTTCAGATCACATTTTAACCAATGTTCCTCTCCAGCCACCTCCAAATGTATTCAAAATGTCACCAATTGAATTATTCAAAAATTGTGACTCAAAAAAAATTCGAAAAAAAATTTTTTTTCGAATTTTTGGGACCAAATTCATTGTTGTTTTCCATGTTTTCGGAAGTTTTACCACCAACAAAAAAAACAATTTTTTTTGAACTTCCGATGTGTGTACCCTTGAATGAATTCTGGAGATTTTTTTGCGGGGGGAAAATTTTTCAAAAAAAAAAGTTGAAAAATTTAAATATAGTTGTTGCTCCTTTAAGACGATTGTGAGTTTTGAGTCATCCCAAAAGTGGGCGGAGCTAAGGGGGAAGGGGCTGACATGTCACACACACATATACACTTCTCAGAAGACGTGTGAAACGTGTCGTCGAAATTTCAAGAGAGGCGGGTAATGACATAATGAAAAGTTGTTATTCTAGAATGTTGCCAAATTTGAGGGAGAAAGCGAGAGAGAGAGAGGGGAGGGGGTAGAGAAGAAAGAGAAAAAAAAACTACAGTAATAAGTTCAATCGTGGTGAGACCTCCGCAAAACTTGAAAATAATTGCTACAGTACTTAACTTTCGCGGCGGGACCCGTCTTTGGCGCTTCATTCGCCAGCATATCGCCAGGAGCAGGTGATTTTGGAATTTTCGAAAAAATCACGATTTTGTAGATCAAAAAATTCCCCATCGATTGATATCGGTTTTCCTCAAAAAATGTGGACCACAATCGTATTTTTCGAGTTTTCGAGCTTTTTGACGATAGTTTTCTGCCACAACCCTATACGATAATTATACCAATCGATAGGGAATTTTTTGATCTACAATCTCAATTTCGAAATTTTTCGAAAAGATTCAAAATATGCCTGTCAGACTTGAAAAATCGGCAGCTTTTATTTGTAGATACTCAACTGCTATATATCTCTAATACTATTTTTCAACTGCTATGGAGGTGATCAACTATTGTCTCAACAGCTATAGCTATCGTCTCAACTGCTATATTTGGCTCATCTGCTATGGATCAACTGCTGTAGACGGGTCCCAAAAGGAGGTCGGAACTCCAGGATCCGGCTAATAACGAGTGTAAGATTCCCCGTATATGGGGCGAGAGTATATGCGAGTTGTACAGAGAATAACACGAACACAGTTGTATCAATGACCCATTTATTAGGCAGAGATAAATACGAAAGTATAACAAAAGTGTGATTAACCGAAAGAGTAGTCGATCCAGTTGGATGAGCAATACGAAAGTGTACCAAAAGTGTGTCGGCGAAAGGGGGCGAAGACGTTCTAGCGTCTTCGGTGGGAAAACCATTTCGCCGTCATCGTGCGAAAGTGTAAAACCACCAGCGCCGAATACGGCGCTTCCAGAGAGAACATATCAGTGATATGTATAGAAAATCAATAAGATAATCACATCTGGAGCGTGTGCGTAAGTGCACGTGACACAAAAGAGGGAAACACGAGCGTAAAACACAACAAAACTAGAAGCAAGACTGAATGCGCGTCAGAAACATGGGCCCACATCGACATTGCGTGTGTGCCCCGAGGGACGCTACGCATTGGGTGGGGCGCACTTGCGCGAGTTAATGAGCGGGCATTCAAATAAGTATATTTATAAAAGAAGTATAAAAGCCCGTAATTACCCCAAGAGTTATGAAGTAACTCCAGAGAGGGGTAATACGAGGCTTTAGTTGTCGAATAGCAGCATCTCGGCAGCTATTCGACAACAACTGCTATTTTCGCCACTTTTGATTTCTTAACTGCTACGGCTATTGCCTCAACTGCTATCGCCATACCAGTTGATCCATAGCAGAAGAGCCAAATATAGCAGTTGATCACCCAGATAGCTATTGAGAAATAGCAGTAGAGATACATAGCAGTTGAGTATTTGCCTCTGATTTGGGCCCGATCAGCTACTGAGTTGAACTCAACGCACGTGTCCATTCTTTCCACATTGGCTGGAGCGTGTACTCTAGCTTATTCAGATGCGTTTTTAGCGTCTGCTTAATACTTCTAACTGGTCTGTCCTTAGATGTACTGGCAGGAGATTCGATCATGATACCGGGGTTGTTGGAACACACCGGGTGCATTGCGATCATGTCGTTGAGATTCCTGGCATGTGGAGTCAATGGTCTTTTATGGACCAAAGTCTGGGCACCGGACACTACGTAGTGTAGTGTGTCGTGGTCAAGCATTAGCTTGCCATAAGCTATGTAAAATGGTTCGAGACCGTCTATCACTAGGATAGTAGCGTATCGCACATCGGCGCTGGAGATATTCTCCATGCCATCCCATAAGTGGGCATCCACGGTCATAGCCGTAGGATGTTCTAGGATTTCCAAGTTAGGAATCGTATGTGCAATAACGCCGAGTGAGGTGACGTCGATTGCGCGCCCAGTAGGGAGCGTGTACCGTATGTAGGTAGGTTGGGCTGCGATCCATGTAGGAATCGACAGAAGCTCTCCACGATTAGTCATTTTTATACTAAGAGCGTATACTTCATTGCTGAAGCTGGAGGCAGAGTGGAACCCTTGAACTCTCATAGTTGTCTTCGCTTTGGCCTGAAGACCAAGTTTAGACGCTGCGTATATGCGGATGAGAGAAATCGACGCACCAGTGTCTGCTAAGCCTAACAAATCTTCGTTGTTCGGCAGTAGCAGACAGATGAATGATAGCCGACTGTTATCGACTACTTCCCAGTAGGCTTGGACCGTATGGGGTAGTGGGGGATTCGTCACGTAAGTGATGGACGAATCAACCGTCTCAGTAGAGAATGCGGTTTGTGTGATTTGATCTCGTGCATCAGTGGCAGAGGAGACAGTTTGGGTGGGCGCCTGTGTTTTGCTGTCGTTGACAACAAGCGTATTCTCGTATGTGGGAATATCACAGAGGCTAGTGTGGGAAGCTGTTGGCAAGTCAGCGTGTGGCAAGGAATGTGCATTTTGCAGTGATCCCTTACCTGCCGTTCTTGCCTCTCTATTGAGAGCTGTGTCCCTGTGGGCCACGAAAAAACGTGTCCCTGCCCTTGACTCCCTGTGGGAGATTCGCTGGGATTCTGTAGAATTCCTTTTTGGGACAGGCGCCCATGTGATGGAGTCCATCACAGTATCCGCACTTATGCGAAGATCTGCACTCAGTAATAGCATGTTTACCAAGGCAGATTGGGCAGAGATCTTTCTCCTTGAGCTTCTCCTTGAATTCCGTGCTTGTCAAATTGCAACGCATGGCATTGTGCGGCCCGTCACAGGCTTGGCACTTTATAAATTCGGGAGTAAGAGAGGGAAAAGTACGTTTGAGGGTAGCAACGTGTGCACCTCTAGGTCCTGGTGTGTAGTATCCTGGCAAAATTTGCCTGGTTACCGGATCAACGTATTCGACTGGGAGAGCATCTGCGTTGTAAGTCAAGGGTCTTTGTCCCTTGCTCCTGAAACTCTCTGTTTTCGGAGCCGGTCTTCTCGTATATGAGGAGCCTGCTTGAGCAGATGCGGAATGAGAAGCGTTCACATGATTAATAAAACCATATGAGTCTGGAATCTCATTCGAAGCATTTTGACTGCCTTGGTCGCGGATCATGGTTCTCAT